GCCGCAGAACGGAGAGTGGGCGCCGAAACGGGTGTCGGCGCTGGAGGCCGAAGGGAAGGCCCAGGGCGGTCCGGCTGCTCGGTGGAGGGGGCCGTGCACCTCGAAGCCTGCGGGCTAAAGCTGGGAGCCTCGAAGCCTGCGGGCTAAAGCGGGGAGCCGCTCCTGCGGCTGCCGGGGGCGCGGGCTCGAGGGAGGAAAGCGCCGCGGACGGAGGAACCGGGAGGACGCGGAGACGGGGGCGGCGGGCGGCCGCCGAGTGGTCTGCAGCTCCGAACCCTGCCACCCTCCGGGAGGACGGAATGGCACCACGGGGACGGGCGAAAGCGCGTTTGATCGGACCCAAAGTAGTGCCGGGATCTGAGGGCGAGACCACAGGCGAGGGTGGCCGCCCGGCCTGGGAGCCCCGGGGCGGGATGGGGTGAGTGGAGCCTCCCGGGGTAGGGGAGTTGGGGGCGGTGGTTGTGAAGACTGTCGGAGTCGAGCTCCGGACAGGCGAAAAACCGGGGCGCGCTAGACTGTTCCCTCCTCCTCTCCGCTTTCCCACCAGCCCTGTAGATGCAGAGGCTTGGGGTCGCAGTTCCTAGGGCAGTCTCTTGCCCCGGGTCAGGCCCCACGCCGCAGCGGCGGTCGCGTGGCGCCGTCCTGGGGTGGAGCTGTCCCCGCGCCCCGGCCCGCAGGCAGGAACGCCTGCAACCTCGCGCCCTTGCCTGGCGCCCAGCTCAGGGCTAGGGACGGGGAAGGTGCATTTCCGTGTGGGGTGGAGGCAATTCCCGGCTGTCGGCGGTGGGGCTAGGCCTGCGGCGGAAGAGCCAGGCCTCCGCCGCTTTCCAGCCAGCCAGGTGCAGGATTTCCCTACTGTCGGACCCGTGTAGGCGAAGGTGGGCGGCTACCTCCAGCCTCTTCGGGAAGCCGCCGCTGGGCCAGGAAGGGATGGGTGACAGGGCTCACACCATTCCTACGACGCCCTCGAATTCGCGGGCCTCCGTTCCCTTTGCCATCGCTGGGTGTGCGCCCCAGTCCCCGGCGACTTTAAGGCCTATGGGCGTCCTGTGTGGACCGCTACTGCCCGCGGCGCACCGGCCTAAGCCCGGAGGGAGGTGCAGGGAGGGAGAGGCGGCCCTCCCTGGGTCTCCCCTGCCTGTCACATCTGCACTTATTTAAAGCTCGGCTGGTGGTCTGCGCTCTCTGGAATGCCAGTTGCGGGCCTGGCCTCCTACGGCATTTGCATTGATTAGCGAGCGGGGCTTGGGGGAGAAGGGGGCGTGGGGGGAGGGGGGAAGACCGGAGGTTCACAGTATTCCTCCTGCCCCTGTCTAGCGAGCTAACCTGAGCCCAGTGATTCCCGCTGCACCGATGGCTGAGTGTGTCAGGGAGCTGGGAACCGAACTTGAAGAATGTTCGTTGCGTCTGGGAAGCGGCCATTGCCATTTAGCAGTACGTTGCGGTCCGGGGCACACACAGGGCCCTAAATCTCCGCAGGTTCCAGCGCTGAAACGGGCGGAGAAGGTGAACAAATGCTGTGACCCCAAGTCCTAAAGGTTTGTAGGCAGTGCCTGGGATATGCAGCATCCTTGATGCGGGCTCTTAAATGTTTACTGGTGCAAGTCCCTACAAAACGAGATTGGCCTGCCTCGCTTAAAATACTGTACACAAAAGCGTAAAAAAGGCACGGGCAACCGGCATCGAGGACGCCACCCTAAGCAGAAGAGGCCCGGTGCAAATTCATCGCTGAAAAACAAGCTGGGTTCTAATTTACTGTGACTCCCAGGGGCGCAGGGGTTGGGGGGAGAAGCAGAGGGGGACCTTTTCAAATTCTTGAATCCTCAAAGAGTTCGGTCTGAAAATTAAAAAAAAATTGCCTTTGGACTTGGTATAATTCAGGGTGGAAATAAGGCCCCTCTGTATTTCTATTCCCCTTTGCTTTTCTGCGAAGCTTTTACCTCAGAGGAAAGTTGTTTTAGTAATCTGGGAAAGAGAAACCATGCGCTGAGTCAGCAAAAACGCGGCACCAGGCCAGTTCAGCTCAGTACTACTGCTGTGTGTAATGTACACACTCTATATGCCTTTGTGGAAATAATCAAAAATATATTAGAATTCTCATGGCATAGCAATGCCCACGAAGCCTGTTGGCAGTTGAGAGCCAGATTTCTGTGTCTTCTCACACAAGGAAACGGGTTCTGAACATGTCTTCTAACAAGCCTTAGATCCAAGGCCACTTAATGGGAGAGAACAGGAAAAAATGCAGTTCTCAAAACAATACAAAATATTTTACTTGTTTCAAATGGTCATGTTTCAGAATGCTTAAATACTCCTTTCTGCCTGTGTTCTTGTGATGAGTGTTCAAGGTGGCTCCAGTAGATGGAATCTTAGTTTTTTATTTTGCATCATTAAAAGCATTTCTCAAAACTGATTCTTGAGATCTTCAGATCTCCTTGCAAGTCCCGTTAGAACCTTGATCATGCGATTTCATTTGTGTGGAAGGAATAAATGTATTCAGAGTCACTGGGAATGAAACTCTTGAACTACCAAGCAACTGATTTTCAGAATAGTTGCTTTTAACTGTCCAAGTGTTGCCTGATTTGCAGTATGTGAACACTTTGGCTGTTTAACAGTCTAAATTGTGCTTTTAATGACAGACATTCAGTATTTCTTGGGCTACTTCTTCATAGTTATTTTAATTCTAAGAGTTTAGTTGCAGAACGTGACTTTTTGAAAACAAAAATAGCATAAAAGTTTTATAAAGAACCAACCAAAAGTTTGCCTCTGTTTCATTTATATTTTTACCTCCAAACTTGAACTTAGTACATCTTTTATGCTTTCACTATTTAAATTCTTTAAAAATATAGCTAGGTTTCAGTACAAGGGGAAAACATCTGGATGTGAAAAATTCAGTCTGTCACCCAACTTCCAGATGTTTGGTACTACGTAGACAAAACATCAGAATGAATGACCGAATTTTTTTTTCTCTACAATCCAGATGGTTTAGCGCCTCTTGCTTCTATAAGGAAGCATATTTTCCTTTCTCTAAACATCACATCCTACTGTAGCCCACGTAAGGCATGATTTACACCCTTTCAGCTACAAAATGCTAGGCCATTTGAAGCGCAGCTAAGTAATCAGTTAATGAAACGTTTTTGTGAATGCAGTCCAAGTACAAGTGTTAGTGTGTACTTAGGAGGGAATGGTGGTGGTGGAGTCAGAAACGGGAAGGTAAGAGAGTGAGTGCCTTGTTCAATGGGAGAATGACTTTGCTAAAAGGACACAGCCTTCCAAAAATCCATCTGTGGCATCCCATAGTCTTAATAGGTGAAGTGGAACATTTAGCAGCAGCTTCAGTACGGCTGCCTTTTGCCTGAGATGCAACTGGACCATGAAGTGTCATCGTGTACTCTGAAGCTTTCTTTCCCTACTGTTCCTTCTTGGAGCCTTATAAAATGCAACAGAGGAATGTAATGTAACATTAAAACATTAGGACTCATGAGCATTATGCAGGTGGAAAAATTCTCTGAAAAGTAAAAAGGCAAGTAAGTGATTTAAATATTCATGTCGTTATATGGTGAATATTTAAGTCACTCAAAACTATAGTGATGATGATTGGATTTCTCTTCCTGTGACATGTCACCACATTGTACAGTTGTTAAACTTGGGGCTGAAGACAGCAACATTTTTTCCTTCCCCAAAGTCAAAGAGATTTAAGGTCATGAACAGAGCCAGAGCTTTTCTCCTTAACCATGCTGAGGAAGAAGGAACAGATATAAAGAGCCTTCCACTAGAATCAGCAGATGAAATCAAACTCAGAATGAATTCCATTCTACTTATTAACCTCACACTCCCTGGATTATAGAACAGTGTTTGGATAATGAATGGCAATGCATGTTTAAACATCATAAAACCTGACCACTTAACAATTGCTGCAAGAAAAACATACCATTTTAAATAGACCTTCTTTCAACTCAGATTCTGAGCCTTGGATAATAAGACAGGATTTTATACTGGCCCAAGATCAATTTTAAAGATAGTTTATGGGAATCTAGTAGAACTTCAGGGTACATATACTGAGTAGTTAAGAGACTCAAAAGCCAAGTGGGAATCTTCAACACTATATAAAACAGAATCACAGTTATTTTTCTTGATTGGATGTTTTCATGACTGTTTGGTGATTCATTTATTAGAATAATAAAATGACTGAGCTGCATTGGACTTAGAGTTCATCCAGGTCTCCTCTGACTTTTATAGATGAGGAAATGGAACCAAAATGAAAGGACCTATCCAAGGCCACACATTCATTCCAGGAAAGGTCAGAACTAAAATCACTGAGTTCTACCATGAATTACAGAGTCCAGCCCAGTCTCCAGGACAGCTTGCCTTGAATCGTTACAATGCGGCTCAGTGGTGTTCAAGAAACTGACACCCATCACTACAGGTTGGAAATGGCTCAACATCATTCATTTGCATTACACATCTAAGCGCTATAAAAACAAAGCTAATGTGAAGGCAGAGTTCCCCCATTTGTCTCCAGAATAAGATAGACTATTGCAAAAACAGAACTAATAAAACTCTGTCAACTTCAACAACTTGGCTAGAGGTCCTGATAAAAAGTGACAGCCTTAGCTTTTTAAAGAGAACTTACAGCGCCTTGGAAGCATGTCATGTGCAGAATCTGCTACAGTTTCTTTGAAAATAACACAAACATTCAAAATTTAAGTGACTTTAATGGGGAAGAGTGGAGGAGGTGGTGGTCATAGCCATGTCTACGCTATTCTTTACAAAAAATATAGATGTCAGTGGGCCTTCAGTCATCTCAGAAACAACTCACTACTCTGGCAGCTTGCATGATGAAATGGAAGGTCAGGATGCAAGGGGAAGGTGGAGGATGGAAGATGGGGTGGCTGGGTCATATTAGATAGCAATATGAGGCATATTGTTCCCCAATTTTAAGGAACTGGGGATATCACTAGTTCTTCATGGTGTGAGCCAAGGATATTTCCTTGACTCTTATGTGATGTTATCAAACCTCTTCTGTTAAATGTTTTTTTCAACATCAAATGAGAACATAGAAGCACTGCTTCTAGGAAGGAAGACAGCCCCTGACTCCTTTGTGAGTATTCTGCTCCAAGAACTCCAAGGAAGGTTAAGGATTAGGAGAGATGGAGGTGGGAGGAGTAGGTGAAGTCAGACTCAATATGGTTGGCCCTCTGTATCTGTGGGTTCTGCATCTGTGGATTCAACCAACCTCAGATGGAAACTATTCAGAAAAAAAAAAAAGGATGGTTTCATCTATATTGAACATGCAGGCTTTTTTTTTTTCTTGACAGTATTTGCTAAGCAATAGAGTATAACAACCATTTACATTGTATTAGGTATTAGTAATCTAGAGATGGCTTAAAGTTCAGTATATAAGAGGATAAGCATAGGTTATACACAAATACCATATCATTTTATATCAGGGATTTGAACATCTATGGATTTTGGTATCCTTGGAAGGTTCTGGAACCCATCCCCAGTATCCCAAAGGACCATATTTGGAATTGTGAGAAAAGAATTGTCATGTTTTGATTGCCTTGTAGAGAAAGGAGATCCTGGTAAGGCCTTCCCTCCAAGCTAATTCAAAGTTAGTGCTCCCTGAGAAGCAGTATCTGGCCAGAATTTGGGAAAGGGGGATGGTGGGAGAAGAGGTCTATATTCTTTTAAAATGCTTAGGGGAGTAACTAAGCCCGCAAAAGTTAAACCAAATAAAACCAGCATGCCTACTTACCTCTTTAATTTACTCTCCCAAACAGATCATCATTTGAGCTATTCCACTGAAGTCAAGCATGAAATCTATTTAGCTGGATAGCTACCCATTTCTTGTGACCTGCAAAAGAGATGCCCTATTCTTTCAGAATCCTTGGAATGCCACATGCCAAGGCCTACTAGAAAACTGAGAAGGAAAACTGGAGCCACAGGCCTGGGCCCACTGAAATTCATCACTCTGAAGAGTGGATTTCACTACCACCCAACCCAGATGCGTGGCTGCTAGTTTATCAGCATAGGTCAATGAATGGTTTTAAGTTGTTGTGGGTTTAAGAGGATCTCTTAATTGACAGGCATTTTTGAATCTTTTTTCTGCCTGGGACCCTTTCGCAGTTTTGTACAATGTACAGAATGTTTTTAAATGCGTTAATTATATTGAAATTGGCTGGGAGTGGTGGCTCGCCTGTAATCTCAGCACTTTGGGTGGCTATTACCTGAGGTCAGGAGTTCAAGACCACCCTGGCCAACATGGTGAAACCCCATCTGTATTTTAAAAATACCAAAATTAGCTGGGCGTGGTGCTGCGTGCCTATAATCCCAGCTACTTGGGAGGCTGAGGCAGGAGAACTGCTTGAACCTGGGAGGCTGAGGTTGCAGTGAGCTGAGATCATGGCATTGCATTCCAGCCTGGTGACAGAGTGAGACTCCATCTCAAAAAAAAAATTATATTTAAATAAAATTATCAAGATATTTTTAAGAAACAAGTTTGTAATATATTTGTTTCTTTGTTAGCACATCAAATGCAAGATCTAGTGGTGAGTCTAATAACTTCTGTGATATTGAAATAATAAATGTTAATGATAAATTCAAAATATCCTCAACAACAATAATATGAAGGTATCTGTAATTTCTATTGGTTACAAAGTCACAGGTATTGCTAATGCATCTGTAGTTTGTGTCCACATTCATAATGAAAAGAAATGCTAATTTTAAAATAGTGATTGGTAGAAATGAAAATGTAAGTTTTTCACATCCAAGTTTACAGACTTCTGCTTTTACTTGATTGCATTTCCAGAACTCCTTACTTCCTCTTAAAGAACTCCTTAGAAGGAGGAAGAGGGGGCAGTTCTAATAGTACCTTAGAGATATGAAATGAGATGGTCACAGCCATATGAGTAGATTTTGATTGGATTACATTGGGCCCGAGTTTGGAGTGTCAACATTAAGCCTGTGATACAAGATCTTGTTCCTAAGATGAAAAGTAACTTTATACTGTAATGCTGTAGAGTTGAGATCTTGAGAAGCATTCTCTTAATGAGAGGACGCTGGAGGAAGTGTCAGAGTCACCTGACACAAGTAGGAGAGTGGTAACCAGAGCCAGGAAGGACTTGATAAGGATGAGTGAATCACCTCTGCTTGGTGAATGAGCCCAGGGTAGAGCTCAGCCTCCATCCAGGGGGCTTCAGTCTCCATCCAGGGAGTCTTCATCAAACGAACAGAGCAAATCCCCAGAGAGGAGGGGATCTGCAGTAAGGGTGGGGGAGGCACATGCAGATCAGGGCAGAACAGCCTGTAGCCTGGGAGCAGAGGGCAGAGAGAGAGCCCAAGCAGGAGTGTCTTCCTGAAGAGTAAACAAAGAAACGACTGACCATTTAAGCTTCATTCACATTAAGAAATTTCACTTATCAATAGATATTATTGAAGAAAATGGAAAGGCAAACCACATACTGGGAGGAAAATGTTCAAGACATTTATCTGGCAGAAGATTCATATCCACAATACATAAAGAACTCTTACAAATCAAAAAGACAAACACAAGAAACCCAAAGATTATACATGAACAAAAGACTCAACAGACACTTCACAAAGAGAGGATATCCAGATGGTCAGTAAGTATTTGAAAAGGTGCTCAGTGTCATTAGTCATCAGGACATGCAAATTCAGCCTTTACTCAAATACACACATTGTAGAAGGACTAAAACTAAAACAATAAAAATTCATCATGTCAAGTGTTGGAGAAGATATGGAGCAACTGAAACTCACACACTGGGTGGGAACGTACACTAGTAGGACCACTTTGGAAAGCTTTTAGTATCCACTAAAACAAAGCACAAATTCATGCCCAAGACCTAGTAACTCCATTCTCAGGTATAGGCCCAAGATCACATTTGTCCACCAAAAGACACATACAAGAATACAGCTTTATGTATTTTACATATTTATAAATGTAAATATTCATTTATATAAATATTTGTCAACTTTATTCACTATAGCATCAACTCAGAAAGAAATTCCCATAAAAAAGATTGCAGTGTATTTGCACACTGGAATATCATACAACAATGAAAAAGAACAAACTGTCGCTACACACAAAGTGGGTGAATCACGTAGTCATAATATAGAGCAAAAGGAGCCAGATGCAAAAGAGTATACACTATATGATTCCATTTATGGGAAAGAAGAGAACAGGCAAAACTAATCTATGGTAATAAAGGTCAGGATAGAATTTACTTTTGCAGGGTGGGGGTATTGATTGGGAGGGGAAACAAGGGCACCTTCTGTGGTGCTGAATTATAATATTATTGACTTTCTGAAAAGTGATTTGGAAATGCAGTCAAGTAAAAGCAGACTGCCATACTGTAGATTTACTCCTTCTGACTCCGTGGTTTTATATTACAAAAAGATTTCACTTGGGCCATGTGAGCATGAAGAGGGTAGAAGGGCAAGCTCCAGACGGGCAAAAGATTCTTGCAATAGATGTATCTGATGCATGGCTTGCATCCAGTTTAAAGTGTGCAGAAGATTCAAAGTAAACTCTATAAAGGAGGATAACCAAATGGCTAATAGGTGTAGGGAAAGTTGCTCAACAGCTTTATTCGTCGGGGAAATGCAAATTAAAACCACAACCCCACAAAATTATACATGCCCACGAAATGACCAGAATACCAAAGGTGGGCAAGCATTGAGCAATGGAACTCTCCCACACTGCTGATGGGAAAGAAAACTGGCCTAGTCATAGTGGAAACCAGCTGTATTTACGAACGCTAAGCATGTACCTATCAGCCTAGGGCTCTGCGTGACTGGTCTAGGAACCCAGTTAAATAAGAACAGGAAGAAGGACCAGAAATCTTGTCTAATGAAGTCTGCCAGGCTTAGGAAACTATTTATGTTTGGGTTTTTTCCTTAGATTTCTAGCAAAGTTCTTTTCTCTTTTTTCTTTTTTCTTCAAAATCCCAGCATTATCTTGGTTTAATTAAAGGCGAAGGGGAGTTGTCTGCTTAGTTCAGAATAGTAGGGGAAACGAGAAGTCCAGTCTGCTGGTGGAAATGGCTGAGTCAGCCAGAATACCTGCGAGCACTGTGGAGCCCTGGAGTGGGTAGGCAAGTCAGGATGGTTCAAGGTTTCTCTCATGGGGCCCCAGAGGGAAAGATCAAGAAAGCTACTCACCGCCTTCTGTTGTCTAGGAAACAGCCTATTCCTTCTTAGAGCGCTGGCTGTTCATTGGTGGCATAAACCACATGTGTGCCTTGCCCATAGGTGTTTCTGCAGCCCTCACTTCTGTATTGATTAGCCAGTGCCACAGGAACTGACATGGGAGTGTGGCAAGAGTTGAGAATCCAGCTTGGGAGGGGAGGATGAAGGGACTCGGGGTAAGGGGAGCAAAGTGGCCGAAGAACTTAACAAGACTGGAGCCAACAGAAGCCTGAGGCTCAGCCTTCCAGCTCTCCTCTTGTGAGCCCATCCATCAGCATGGCCTTCTGGCTCCACATTGATGCTTCCCATAAAAATTGGTGCCAGGATGGACAAGCTCCAGGGTGACTCATAACAAGCAGCAAACAGCACAGGGATGGCTGGGGATTTGACATCTGTTTCACGTCACAGAGTGAAAACTTATTTCTCCTAAACACTGATGATGGCAGCTATAAATATCAACCTTTGTGGCTCACTGTCAGGATATTTTTTCCTGGTTTGAGAATTTTCTCAGGAGATGTAACCCATGATGCACCCCAGTCTCTTCCCAAGTCACATGTCAAAGGTCCAAGTTATGGCAACACAGCCCTTGAACAAAATTTGAAGTACAAGATACTAGCCCTTTTGTGATGGAAAGGGTTTTTTTAAATTAGGTTTCTGTTAAACTTAGACCCTATTCACATGTCTTGTTCTGTTCATTTGACTTTGAGATTTGGGAGACTGACTTTTCAACCTCATATTCATTGTTGTCATCATCCACTGACATGTATTAGGCACTTACTGGGTGTAGAATGCTGTGTTTAGCATAGAAGGGTTGTATATAAACTCGTACCAGGTATCCATAGAATGACAAAGGTCTTGTTATTAAATCCCAAGATACCATTCATTCATTCATTCAGAGGATTATTTTGTGAGCTTCTACCATGTGCCCAGTACCATGTGGCTGTTGGTGACACAACAGAAAGCAGCAGGACAGAAACAGTCTCAGCCCCGACAGCACTCATGGTCCAGTGAGGGAGGGAGATTTTAACTTTTATTTATAAGTTGTATTTTTAAATTTATTTTGAGATGGATTCTCGCTCTATTGCCCAGGCTGGAGTGCAGTGGCACAATCTCAGCTCACTGCAACCTCCACCTTCTGGGTTCAAGCTATTCTCATGCCTCAGCCTCCCGAGTAGCTGGGACTATAGGTGCCCACCACCATGCCCAGCTAATTTTTCTATTTTAATAGAGACAGGGTTTTGCCATGTTGGCCAGGGTGGTCTCAATGTCCTGACCTCAAGAAGGTAGTTGTTAAGTTTAGAATCATCAGAGACACACAGTGGGATAGACACTCACTACACTTTAAGAGGGTAATACAGATGGGCAGGGAGAATAAACAAAGAGGCTGAGGAGGCTGTGGCTGGTAGTTGCCTCGTGCATTGTATGGGCTTGGGGGCTGTTTGAAGGAAGGCAGCTGCGGCATCCTGCAAACTGAGAGACGTGGCCGTGGAGGAAGAACTGCAGGGGTGTTCTCATTCGGTTGCATGAGGTCTGTGGCCCACCATGTGGTTGAGAATCCCTAAGGCTGATTTCAGAGAGTTAGTGGAATCTGGGGTGAGGGGGTGGGAGGTGGGGTTCAAGGCAGGCAGAGACCCAGACTGAAGGGAAGGAGAATATTGTTGTAGGCATCCTTCACCTTGACCCTCTGACCGGGTCTCCATAGACAAAGGAGGATGAAGGAAGAGAACTCAATAATATTACTGCCCAATCACAGGAAGGGAAAGAATGATGTATTTGCAGCTGCTGTTCACTTTACAAACACCTTCACACATATGACGGCACTTGTTTCTCTTAATAGCCTTTGAAGTAGACAAGGCGGGCCATTTCACAGAGAAGAGAACTGAAGCTTCTTTCCTTTTTTTTTTTCTTTTCCTTTCTTCCCTCCTTCCCTCCCTTCCCTCCCTCCCTTCTCTCTCTCCCTCTCTCTTTCTTTCTTCATGGAGTTTTGCTCTTGTTGCCCAGGCTGGAGTGCAAGGATATGATCTTGGCTCACAGCAATCTCAGCCTCCCAGGTTCAAGCGATTCTCCTACCCAGCCTCCCAAATAGCTGGAAATACAGGCATGTGCCACCACACCAGGCTAATTTTGTATTTTCAGTAGAGATGCAGTTTCTCCATGTTGGTCAGGCTGATCTTGAACTTCTGACCTCAGGAGATCCATCTGCCTCTGTCTCCCAAAGCACTGGCGTTACAGGTGTGAGCCACCTCACCCAGCCAAGGCTTCTTTCTAATTGATTTGCCCAATACCAAACCACTTATTAAGTGGCAGAGGGGGGATTTGAACCCACTTCCTCTGTTAGTCCTGTGTTCTTTCCATAGGCATAAATCTTATTTAAATTTGCAGAAACCCCCACCCAGGAGCCCAGAATCTCCCAAGGTGAAGGCTTGCTCCTAAAGTTAGCAAATAATATTGACAATTCTACCAGGAAGGAATCTTGCATTTGTCAGAACACTTCCCAGAAGGGCTGTCTTGGTGTGCTGAAGAGAAAACAGATCTCAGGGGCTAGTTCTCAGCCTGCACCATTCAGTCCACTTTATGATTCCCTTCCACAGGCAGAAAGAGAAAGAGGGATTCCTCCCTGCCTGACAGGGCCAGTTTGTTGCACATGGAATATAAATAGCTGTCACTACCATATGATTCTAGAACTGATGTCAGCAAACTTTCTATAAAGGTCCAGATAGTAAATATTTTAGGTTTTGTAGGCCACATGGAATTTCTGTTACAATTACTTAACTCTGCCATTGAGGTGTGAAAGCCACCATAGACAATGTATAAATGATGGGTATGGCTGTGTTCCAGTGAAAGTTTATGGGCACTGAAATGTGCATTTCATATAATTTTCACATGTCACAAAATGTTATTCTTCCACTGATTTTTTTTCAACTATTTAAAAATATAAACACCATTCTTAGTTTGTGGATTATACAAAACAGGTGTTGGGCCAGGTTTGGCCCACAGGTTTAGAAGACAAAAGAGGTTTTTCATGCCAAATACTGTCACTACGGAGACCTGGATTTTCAAATTCCACCATCTGTTTCACCATCAGTACTCTATTCCTTTCCCCTCCCTCCCTCCCTCCCTCCCTCCCTCCCTCCCTCCCTCCCTTCCTTCCTTCCTTCTTTTTTTTGGTCTTGCTCTGTTGCCCTGGCTGGAGTGCAGTGGCACAATCATAGTTCATCATAGCCTCCAGTACCTTAGCTCAAGTGATCCTCCTCCCTCAGCCTCCTGAGTAGCTGGGACTACAGGCATGCTCCATCACACTTGGCTGGTACTCCATTCCTTTTGGGTTTCACTGTACTTCTCCAAACTCTTTTTAAGAAGCAGGCATCCTGGGAGGAGGATGATTAGAAAGAAGCCTGAGTTCTCTCCTCTGTCAAATGCCTTGTCTACTTCAAAGGCTATTAAGAGAAACAAGTGCAGTCATACATGGGAAGGTGAAAAGGGAACAGCGGCTACAAACACATCACCCTAACTTCATTTTAGAACTTTATTAGACGTGTTAGAATGTAAGTGCCACGAGGGCAGGGCTTTTTGTCTGTTTGGTTCACTTTTAAGTGCCTAAGACAAGGAACTGAGTTGCATAAATACTCTGTATAAATACTAGTTGAAGGGATGAATGACTTTTCCCTCTAACCTGAAAGATCAGAGCCACCAGAAGAGGTGGTTGGGGCAGTGAAGGCAAGGGGTAGTGGGTCAGTGGGAAGAGGTGACAGAGATAAAGCAACTGCTGAACCAGTGTTCCTGCAGGCCCTGGTCTGGGAGGCGCTGAAGTCTGCTGATGCTCTTGGAAATCAGTGGACTTGGAAGAGGCAGGGCACAGGGTGTGCCAGCCTGGGAAGGGAGTTGGGAAAGATACAGCAGTTGCACACGGCACCCAGAGAAGCGACACCAAGGCCTGATGGACTCACCCGATCCATTTCCATGGAGTGGTGCAGTCTCTGCCAAGAACAACGTTAGGACTTGACAAGATTTGGCAAGTCCCTGAGACATGGATTTGTGCAGTGTAAAGTTACAAGGGCCTTTTGGGAGACGGGACAAACACAAAAGACAGTGGAAATGTGTGCCTGGGATGTCCAAACCCACTCTTTCTGCAGGAAAGTGCCAAGGAAAGGGAAGGCTAAAAGAGGGCAGAGAATAAAGACACACCGTCCCCATCCCCTTAAACTGGCCACACATTTTTCTGGGTCAGACACATCATAAAATGCTATAGGACTGAATGAATGCTATGAATGTGGTATATGTTATTAAAAATAACCAGGGTTCCTCACTGCAACCACAGTGAAAAATATCAACCAGGATACTTACTGAATGAAAAAGTTCTTGCAGATAAACTGTCCCAGTAAAGTGACTCTAGCCTGGAATTTCTCACTCTGAGTTTTCCTTATGTCCTTATGCAGAACAATCACAACCAGCCATCCCCCTGGCTACCCACGAATCTGATCCTCATCTCTTGTATATGGACTCATTATTTTTTTGAGAGTGTCTTGTCCAGGCTAGAGTGCAGTGGCATGGTATAGGCTCACTGCAACCTCCCCCTCCTGGATTCAAACGATCCTCCTACCTCAGCCGCCCAATATGCTGGGATTATAGGTGTGAGCTATCACACCTGGCTGCTTATGGATGTTAAAATTTGACCTGGTGATTCCCCAAACTTATACAAGGATAGACCAAATCAGCCAGTATTTTGGTAGATAAGTCAAGCTGAGGCCCAGCAAGACCTTCCAGATGTTGCTTGAGGGGTGAGGTTTCCACACACCTGGCCCAGGATCCCCCTCCTGGGGAGGAACCACTAGGGCAAACTGAGCTCTCCGTACGAGCTAGAGTCTGGACCTCCAACAGAAGAGGTCAACATTTGGGGCCAACATAAAAATCACAAAACTTGAGGGAATGCATGCGGTGCAGTGTGGAGACATAAGCTTCAAGTCTCTTCTTTGATGTACCCACAACAGCACAGCAGAGAAGCTAAGAGTCCA